TTTTTTTTTTTTTTTTTTTATGGCACCCGAAGGAAAAAGAATGGCGTACAATAATTAACTGCAGGAACACGAGTCGGTTGGATGCGCTCGACTTGCTGCAAGGTTGGCACGTTTAGACAGCTGATGTCGTCGTTTCGATTCCCGATGATCTAGGGATCATCAAGAATCGCGGGATTAATAAACCGTGACGTTTAAACCGTTTTCGACGATTAAACGCGACGATTGGCAACGAGGCTTTCTTCGTGGTTAAGGGGTACTTGTTTGGTAAATTTGTTTGATTGGAGAAGAGTTAGTTATGGTTATTAGAGTGTCAACTTTAAGAGACGACGAGAAGCTTATTATATATAAAATATTTCTATCACTATGAGAAAGTGGCTTGAAACTTTCTACCACTTAAAGTGATCAATCGCAAGAGTGACAAGTCCAAAATTGATTCTTCTTTTCAAACTTTAAAATTAAATCAAACGTTTATGATTTATTAACCGAGGACCCTCGAGCCTTCGAAATATCAATTTCGAAACCAATCTTCCACCATTGATACATCTGATCGTGAATAATTTCCAAAGGGATTCCAAAGGAGCAAGTAATCGATGGAGGGAAGGAGATTCAATCAAAAATCCAAACACGTTCCAGGGAAGTAGAACTCGTCTAACGTAGGTCTACCAACTGCAAGGACTTGTGATAGAAGAGTTCAACTGAGAACTCGTTCGCAGGAACACCGACGTTAAGGAATAGAAGGGAAAATGAAAAAGGAAAAAGGTGTTCCACTTAGAAGACGACCGATCAAGGTGATTTGCATTCCAGGGACGTTTGCCGCGATCGCGAAACTGGCGTATCGTCAGCTGTGGTTAACCCTGAAAATTACACGCGAGAACGGAATGTGGTCGACGATTGAGACCCGCGTTTGTCCGGAGAACGCGTTGGCATGCACCGCCGGTTCTTATCTCGTAGAATTCTATTATTTTCGAATCAATTCTATTATTTTCGAGTAGCTCTTCTCTGATCTCTGCACGTGTGTTTGACTCAAAATTCTAAACTCGGCTGTTTACCGAGTATTTTCGTTGGAAATGTTTCGAGTAACAGTGTCACTCACAAATATAATACATCGTTCAGAGTTTCCAGTTTTGATCGTGAGGAAGATGCGAAACCTAATATGTAACACATGTGTTTTAGTTGCATTGTTAGTTTATTATTAATTAATCTTGCATGGCAATCGACACGTAACAATATACATAACATGTTCACAAGTAATTCAAGAGGATAGGATGGATCTTCGATCGTCTGCTTCT